TGTTTTCAATTTAGACTTGTTTTTTCGTTTATGCTTGTATTATATTTGCCTTCGGGTTTATATGATGCGTTCATCCTATTTTGACTCCTCAAAATTCAAGAGTCTATCCTTAATTGAGGTAAATTGTATGGCTTTCCAAATACCGTTTCGATTCCTAACATCACTGAAGAGACATTAATTGTCGAAATCCGGATATGGTGTACAAAAACCTTTGCACCTTTTGTTTGCGGTATTTCATCTTTTCCGCAAGTTTATTGTTTTCTGTTTAGTATTAAATTTATAATTAAGATCCATTTATTACATCAGTGATCCATTTATTTGGCAATCGCCAATGGCAGTCAGCAGGGTTTAAGAACATTTGTTGTTGGACCTGTTAGTCAAATGCGTTTTGTTAAAATATACTTTTTCACTTTTTTTTTGGTCTTTTGGAAAATGTTGTTTGTGCTGTATTTAGACCCCTCTAACAAGAAATTTGTTTTGCATGCACATGTATAAAAATTGCGGGTTTTATCCAACGCAATCATACATTGTAGGTTTGAACGTTGTTTTCAATTTAGACTTGTTTATATTTTGTCGTTTGGGCTTGTATTATATTTGCCTTTTGGGATTATATGATTGGTTTTTGGAAAATGTTGTTTGTGCTGTTTTTAGACCCCCTAACAAGAAATTTGTTTTGCATGCACACGTATAAAAATTGCGGTTTTTATCCAACGCAATCATAGGTTTAGACGTTGTTTTCAATTTAGATTTGTCTATATTTTTTTCGTTTGGGCTGGTATTATATTTGCCTTCGGGTTTATATGATCCGTTCATCCTATTTTGATTCCTCAAAAATTCAAGAGTCTATCCTAAATTGAGGTAAATTGTATGGCTTTCCAAATACCGTTTCGATTCCTAACATCACTGAAGAGACATTAATTGTCGAAATCCGGATATTGTGTACAAAAACCTTTGCACCTTTTGTTTGCGGTATATCATCTTTTCCGCAAGTTTATTGTTTTCTGTTTAGTATTTAATTTATAATTAAGATCCATTTTTTACATCGGAGATCCGTTTATTTGGCAATCGCCAATGGCAGTCAGCAGGGTTTAAGAACATTTGTTGTTCGACCTGTTAGTCAAATGCGTTTTGTTAAAATATACTTTTTCACTTTTTTTGGTCTTCTGAAAATGTTGTTTGTGCTGTATTTAGACCCCTCTAACAAGAAATTTGTTTTGCATGCACACGTATAAAAATTGCGGTTTTTATCCAACGCAATCAGAGGTTTGAACGTTGTTTTCAATTTAGACCTGTTTATATTTTTTCGTTTGGGTTGGTATTATATTTGCCTCCGGGTTTATATGATCCGTTCATCCTATTTTGACTCCTCAAAATTCAAGAGTCTATCCTAAATTGAGGTAAACTGTATGGCTTTCCAAATACCGTTTCGATTCCTAACATCACTGAAGAGACATTAATTGTCGAAATCTGAATATGGTGTACAAACACCTTTGCACCTTTTGTTTGCGGTATATCATCTTTTCCGCAAGTTTATTGTTTTCTGTTTAGTATTAAATTTATAATTAAGATCCATTATTACATCGGTGATCCGTTTATTTGGTAATCGCCAATGGCAGTCAGCAGGGTTTAAAAACATTTGTTGTTCGACCTGTTAGTCAAATGCGTTTTGTTAAAATATACTTTTTCACTTTTTTTGGTCTTCTGAAAATGTTGTTTGTGCTGTATTTAGACCCCTCTAACAAGAAATTTGTTTTGCATGCACACGTATAAAAATTGCGGTTTTTATCCAACGCAATCATAGGTTTGAACGTTGTTTTCAATTTAGACTTGTTTATATTTTTGCGTTTGGGCTTGTATTATATTTGCCTTCAGGTTTATATGATCCGTTCATCCTATTTTGACTCCTCAAAATTCAAGAGTCTATCCTAAATTGAGGTAAATTGTATGGCTTTCCAAATACCGTTTCGATTCCTAACATCACTGAAGAGACATTAATTGTCGAAATCCGGATATGGTATACAAAAACCTTTCAAATTGCACCTTTTGTTTGCGGTATATCATCTTTTCCGCAAGTTTATTGTTTTCTGTTTAGTATTAAATTTATAATTAAGATCCATTTATTACATCGGTGATCCGTTTATTTGGCAATCGCCAATGGCATTCAGCAGGGTTTAAGAACATTTGTTGTTCGAACTGTTAGTCAAATGCGTTTTGTTAAAATATATGTTTTCACTTTTTTTGGTCTTTTGGAAAATGTTATTTCTGATGTATTTAGACCTCTCTAACAAGAAATTTGTTTTGCATGCGCACGTATAAAAATTGCGGGTTTTATCCAACGCAATCAAAGGTTTGAACGCTGTTTTCAATTTAGACTTGTTTTTTCGTTTATGCTTGTATTATATTTGCCTTCGGGTTTATATGATCCGTTCATCCTATTTTGACTCCTCAAAATTCAAGAGTCTATCCTTAATTGAGGTAAATTGTATGGCTTTCCAAATACCGTTTCGATTCCTAACATCACTGAAGAGACATTAATTGTCGAAATCCGGATATGGTGTACAAAAACCTTTGCACCTTTTGTTTGCGGTATTTCATCTTTTCCGCAAGTTTATTGTTTTCTGTTTAGTATTAAATTTATAATTAAGATCCATTTATTACATCAGTGATCCATTTATTTGGCAATCGCCAATGGCAGTCAGCAGGGTTTAAGAACATTTGTTGTTGGACCTGTTAGTCAAATGCGTTTTGTTAAAATATACTTTTTCACTTTTTTTTTGGTCTTTTGGAAAATGTTGTTTGTGCTGTATTTAGACCCCTCTAACAAGAAACTTGTTTTGCATGCACATGTATAAAAATTGCGGGTTTTATCCAACGCAATCATACATTGTAGGTTTGAACGTTGTTTTCAATTTAGACTTGTTTATATTTTGTCGTTTGGGCTTGTATTATATTTGCCTTTTGGGATTATATGATCCGTTCATCCTATTTTGACTCCTCAAAATTCAAGAGTCTATCCTAAATTGAGGTAAATTGTATGGCTTTCCAAATACCGTTTCGATTCCTAACATCACTGAAGAGACATTAATTGTCGAAATCCGGATATGGTGTACAAAAACCTTTGCCTTTTGTTTGCGGTATATCATCTTTTCCGCAAGTTTATTGTTTTCTGTTTAGTATTAAATTTATAATTAAGATCCATTTATTACATCGGTGATCCGTTTATTTGGCAATCGCCAATGGCAGTCAGCAGGGTTTAAGAACATTTGTTGTTCGACCTGTTAGTCAAATGCGTTTTGTTAAAATATACTTTAATTTTCACTTTTTTTGGTTTTTGGAAAATGTTGTTTGTGCTGTTTTTAGACCCCCTAACAAGAAATTTGTTTTGCATGCACACGTATAAAAATTGCGGTTTTTATCCAACGCAATCATAGGTTTAGACGTTGTTTTCAATTTAGACTTGTCTATATTTTTTTCGTTTGGGCTGGTATTATATTTGCCTTCGGGTTTATATGATCCGTTCATCCTATTTTGACTCCTCAAAAATTCAAGAGTCTATCCTAAATTGAGGTAAATTGTATGGCTTTCCAAATACCGTTTCGATTCCTAACATCACTGAAGAGACATTAATTGTCGAAATCCGGATATGGTGTACAAAAACCTTTGCACCTTTTGTTTGCGGTATATCATCTTTTCCGCAAGTTTATTGTTTTCTGTTTAGTATTTAATTTATAATTAAGATCCATTTTTTACATCGGAGATCCGTTTATTTGGCAATCGCCAATGGCAGTCAGCAGGGTTTAAGAACATTTGTTGTTCGACCTGTTAGTCAAATGCGTTTTGTTAAAATATACTTTTTCACTTTTTTTGGTCTTCTGAAAATGTTGTTTGTGCTGTATTTAGACCCCTCTAACAAGAAATTTGTTTTGCATGCACACGTATAAAAATTGCGGTTTTTATCCAACGCAATCAGAGGTTTGAACGTTGTTTTCAATTTAGACTTGTTTATATTTTTTCGTTTGGGTTCGTATTATATTTGCCTTCGGGTTTATATGATCCGTTCATCCTATTTTGACTCATCAAAATTCAAGAGTCTATCCTAAATTGAGGTAAACTGTATGGCTTTCCAAATACCGTTTCGATTCCTAACATCACTGAAGAGACATTAATTGTCGAAATCTGGATATGGTGTACAAACACCTTTGCACCTTTTGTTTGCGGTATATCATCTTTTCCGCAAGTTTATTGTTTTCTGTTTAGTATTAAATTTATAATTAAGATCCATTTATTACATCGGTGATCCGTTTATTTGGCAATCGCCAATGGCAGTCAGCAGGGTTTAAGAACATTTGTTGTTCGACCTGTTAGTCAAATGCGTTTTGTTAAAATATACTTTTTCACTTTTTTTGGTCTTTTTGAAAATGTTATTTGTGCTGTATTTAGACCCCTCTAACTAGAAATTTGTTTTGCATGCACACGTATAAAAATTGCGGTTTTTATCCAACGCAATCATAGGTTTGAACGTTGTTTTCAATTTAGACTTGTTTATATTTTTTCGTTTGGGCTTGTATTATATTTGCCTTTGTTCTCAAACCCTGCTGACTGACATATATATACATATTAATCTAGGGTAAAGTGTTTTTTTTCTGTTTTATAATCAGTCATTTTCGACTTTTTTCCACGTATTTTATTAGATGACTAAAACTCCATCGAACCACATATATATAGATCGGCACATTAAATATAAACATCTTTCAAGAAAACGTATGAAGAAACTGTACAAAAATAAAAGAACAAATAATTTAAAGCAAAAGAAGTATGTTAGTAAGGTATAAATTAAACCGATATGTTGAATATTCCAGATATGGTATGTATTGAAAAGTTTTAATGACAATCAGTATTCTTCTCACACACACTCAAATTTTAATGGGTGTATGCCTTTATGACAAATATTATAAAACAAGACAATATATAGGACAAAATAAACAATGACAAAGTTGAACTACGATGTATAGTAAGGTATAAATTATTTATTTCATTCAGATATAAGGTAAGCTGAGAACATTGACCAGTGGTAACCATATGCATTCTCAACACCTCCATTGTGATGGCGTATTGTCAGGTGTTCTCCTTTCTTCAAGTCCATTACAGCATTCAAAGTACCTTGCGAATATCCTGTACCAAACACTCCAACATTTGGCTGAGCATTCCTCCACAAGTGACAGTGTAGATGTGTTCTTTTGTCAGACATCATAGAACTTGACACCAAATATAAACCATTCATTGGTACAGTGAAAACGCCTGTTGAAGGATTATAAATATCTCCAGTGTTCAGCCAGACTTTGTCAAATATCATAACTTGATTTGCTGCAAGAGCTTTTTTAGCAGTCAGTGATGCAGTAAATGCAGGGCGGGTTTTCCTTGTTAGCCCTATTAAAAATAAAAAAAATACTAGATTTCAATGAATAAGAAATCAACCCTAGTAAGAAATAGACATAGACATAGTAGAAATATTTTATTATTTCCAATCCGGCATGGTGCCCTAAATAGAGCAGTACAATCATATATAACTTAATTAACAGATTTATAAATAAACTAGAAAAGTGATTTTTATAATTGAATATTTAACATAATAAAGCAGAGAAGAAAAAAAAACATAACTAGAATTGCCATTGCGAGCAATAGCGGATGTCACCCTGGTCCGCCAATTGCTACTAAACGGCAGCCATTATCAAATTCGTCAACATTGAATGCACATTTATGCATCACAATACATTATTCTATTGTTTTTCAAATTTTCAGAAAGTTAAAAGTATTTTTAATATTTTCTCATTTGTACTGTTTCTATGGCAACGGCGGCCATTTTGAAAATTCCAAAGATGGATTTCCTATCTTAACATGCCAAGTAACATTTCCACAAAGTTTCTTTAAATTTGGAAAACTTTCCGATTTTTCACATTCTTTCAGTTTAAATGACAACGGCAGCCATCTTGGAAATACCAACCCCCGAATGCACCTCTGCACATGGTGGTTGACATTATTGCATAGTTCCAATATAATTGGTCCATCTAATTCCGAGAAATAGTCTGGACAAAAATGTGTGGAATGATAATAATAATAGGAATAAAAAAAAAGAATCGAACAATAACAATATGTCACCCGACCTCCGTCAGGGTGACATAACTATCTACAAATACAGTAAGAAGCATTTCTAGAAAAAGGTACTTTCAATAGCTTCTGAATCGGTGCAATAAAATGTAAAAAATGGTATGAATAAAATATCTTAAGCAAAAGATTTCTTAAAACTACAGAACAGTTTCATTAACCTATAAAAATCTAAAAAAATTATCCGTACCGTCAATTTCAGTCTTTTGGTTTCGACATTTGATTAACAGGTCCAGCAGGTCTTCAGATAAATCTGCAACATGAGTTACACAAAAATAATGATCATAAAATTTAACAAATATTTCGCAGTATTGTAACAAAATGAAAAAAAGAATATTGACAAAAATACCGAACAAGATACATTCCCCATTTCCATTCTCGATTTTAAGTCTATAAAACCTGGCAAAATAAAAAGTAACGGAACGAATGGAAATCAGCTTTCATATTCCTGACTTGGTACAGGCATTTACAGTTAAAATAGTTGGTTAAACCTGTTGTTTAATTTGAAAATAAATTATTAGATGTAGACATGTAAGCTGAAAGAAAGATTTTTTCGATGAACATAAGAATACAAAACAATACTAGTAATCAGACTTGATGGATATAAAATGAAGGTCCAAATAAAAGGATTATCTGATCATATCTTTGAAGTGGTTGACAAAGACGACGTCAGGGAGTACAAACACTCATGTAATTCCACTTTGTCAGATTTGTGACACGTTCCTGCAATCAAAGTAAACATATGAATTGTTTTTCATAATAAATAAGCAATAGAACCATTACAGAGCACATAGCTTTCAATAGTTATAAGCATTCACTATCTACTGAATTACAAAACAAGTATTTATTACGTTTTTTTTTACCTTTCTTACAAGCCGCAACTGTTTGTCCAATTTGTATGACTCCTATCATAAAAACTATAGTGACTGAAGACTTCATCCTCGACAAGACTTGACTGGAAACTCAGTAGGAAGCAACTGTTACGGACTGGAGGCAGCAGGCTTATATTTTATCACCGAATTGCGTGTTGTACCATTTGACATGCGATTTAACTGTAATTCAAAACATTAACATTTGAAATACATGCAAATAAAATTTATTCAAAATTCGAAAAGAGAACGAGTAGTTTTCTTTAATTGATCTTTCATTCACATAAAGTTGTAAATTCAAGATGCATCTTCTAAACCTTTTTAATTGTTTGAGTGCTGTCATACAAGGCAAAGCTGTAATTTGAAATATTCTTGAATCCGTTCACACGAAGGTTGCTTTTTGTCTTAGTGGTTCATTTTCCAATAAACCAAATATTCTGTTTTAAAATCCTAAAACTTATAATTATAAAGCAATTAATTTAACCAGTCGGAAAGCTTTTCAATTTTACAAATCTGACTGCTCGAAACAAAGTTTCATTGTCACAGAACACTCATCTGTTGTCCACTTAATATTTCTTTAACGTTTTGGGGGTTTTATCATTTGAGGAGGCAATTTTGTGCATTTAATATTGTTCCTGCTGTTATTCGGCCATTTTATGTATAGTTTATGTCCGGATTCAACTTCATGAAAATTACGTGTCTATTTTTGCAAGGTAAATTGATTGATTGATTGATTGATTGGCATTTTTAGACGTTTAAGGACAAACAAATGTATATTTCATTTTTCGTGTCGAGAACGAAATGAATATTACTTCTACTAATAAATTTAATCAATATACTCCAGAAAAAAAAAGACTGTGACCTCATCGTCTAATTCTAAGTATCCGTATGCAGTAGCATGTATTGTGTCATTGGCCACCAATGGGTCTTCAATGCAGCGAGAAAATCCCGCACCCGGAGGTGGTCCTCAGCTGGCCCCTAACTAAAATTGTGTGCTAGTTCAGTGAAAATGGACGTCACACTAAACTCCAAAAACATATGAATGAACTGAAATTAAAAAACATACTAGACTAACAAAGGTCAGAGGCTCCTGACTTGGGACAGGTGCAAAAATGCGGCGGGGTTAAACATGTTTTGTGAGATCTCAACCCTCCCCCTATACGTCTAGCCAATTTAGAATAAAGAAACACAGCAATACGCACAGTAAAACTCAGTTTAAAAGAAGTCCGAGTCCGATGTCAGTAGCTATTATCGCCGCGATATAGCCTTTTTGTGCTGATGCGGCGTAAAGCAATCAACGATCAATCAATCAGTAACTATTAACCATGACATTTACCCCAGTATAATTATAAAAAACCAGTTTTCTATACCGTCATGCCATTACAGCATCTATTATACATATGCTGTATAGGTAAGGTTGTGTTTGGGTTTTTTTTTATTAAAATATGATGTAATTATTAAAGTTATTTTTTTGTATATGACGTTGCGCACGATGTTGGTACTACTTAGCGTTTCACGTCGTTCCTCAAAGAAAGTTTCAGGCGTTCAAGCATATTATTGATGATGTCAATTTACTGTTGTGAATTTGGTAACCGATTTCGGTTTGTCTGAAAAAATGCATAAATTTACAAATAAAACTCAAAGTGGTCGTATAGATATTTTTTTAATGAAATTCATTTACAGGAGTTGTCAGTCTTTCCAGGCCATAATTGATAATTTTCCTTTCGGCAGCAGTTCGCATTAATGAATCCGATACAATAATGTCCAAATTTACACAGATTTATTTTTAATATCAATTAGATTTTGAATTCATATTCTCCTATTTTTTGCATATTTATTCCTTTTGTTGCATTTCTTCCCGTTTCCGTTTCCTTTCTATATTTTATCATTTCCCGATGCTTTCTTTGTCGCAAAATATTAAGGAAGTTAAACATTCGGGACACATGTTTTAAATTTTCTCATTTCCATATTTTTGTGACATATCCCTTGTTTGTTATAATTGCCAGCAATGGCTTTTATCTATTTTATTTTATTAACAAAAAAATATATATGTTACTTTTGACGATTTAAAACTTGCAGATAGACAATGTTCCTTATATAAAGCAAATATGCTATAAAAAAAAAACCCTAAGATCCCGATATTTTTTTTATATCGATCTCATTTGGTCAACATTTGAATTTAAACTTAAACTATTCCTTTCTCATACATTGGTTGTATTGTAATTTATACATGTATTTTTATTTTCATTCGAATTAAACTGGAAACAAATAATTACGATAAAAAATTAAAAACCAGAGCATGACATCAATTACGTTTTGCGAACGTTGGGACAAAACGGCTATACTTTTTGAAACGATCTAAAAACCTTGTTGCCTAACGAAAAAATATTAAACACTATATTGTTTAAGAAGAAAAACAGAAAAACCTTTACCGCCAAGTTTTATTTTTTATGATCTAACTATGCTTATTTGATAGACAGCTGGTTAAAACCTCAATTTTAAAGAAAATACAGCGTTTTTTTCGTTGGGACAAGATGGCTATACTTTTTGAAGTCATTGCAATAGAAACTATACGCATGGTTTCCGGCAAAAAAATATCATGAGCCAGGAGAAAAGTAAAAAAACTTTCAAAATGTAATAAATATTTTTTCTCTCAGCTTTTTCAATTTCACGGTATAAATGCGCAAACCCGAAATATACTTACTTTGCATACGGTTGGACATTTTTCAGACCGTTTACAAAAATAACATTTTCCAGATTACGGTTTTAGTGATATTGATTTTGCTTTAACACGCGAATAATTATAACAATAGCAATATTATTGTGAAGTTTTACGATGATCAGAGAAAACATACCGTAGGAGAGAAACGGAACTCTGATCTTTTGCACACAAAATGAAACGTTGGACATTACGTTTTTGCGTAAAAATGGGATAATTAAGTGTTATAATTCCTGGTATTTTAAATTTCGGTTCCTTTTTTCTTTAATTTCAAGTCTAATGGAATGAATTCAATCAGAAATCACTATATTTTTATCGAACTGACCAGTTTTGCGTATTTATTTTTATGCTAATCTATAGCAAAATGGAATTGGTACCAACATCGTGCGCAACGTCATATGTATTGGATACAATTCAAAGGTAACAAAAAAAACAGGCCGGTAACAAACGTTGCCGGATGGTTTTTCTGCACGAGTAGTCAGGTGAAGGCCCGAGGCGATAGCCGAGGACCTTGACCTGACTACAAGTGCAGAATAACTATACGGCAGTTTGTTTCCGGCCTGTTTTTTTATAACCTTAAAAGTTTGTTTTGTATCTGACTTGTACGACGTTTCAAGAAAATAGTAGTACATTTTGCATTTAGAAGATGTAGTAAAATTAAACAAATTAGAAACTTAAATGGCCATATACCAGTTAATGCAAGGTACTGTAACAGTTTAAACAAACTTTTTTTTCACTTCCCTTCAGCCGAGAGTTTTTTTCTCAAGAAATTCAAGAATCTAATAATTTTATAAAAAAGAACCATGTCAAGGAAAAAAGATGAATTTCGTACACATTTGAGACTTTTTAAAATGCAACTTCGCAAGCAAGTAATGTATGAAAAAGTTTTAAGAGGTAAGCAAGCTGACATTTGATTTTTATTTGGGGAAAAAACGAAAAAGGGGGGGGGGATTTTTTTTCTCAAATAAACAGGCTTGATCCTTTTTTTTTGTTGAAAAAAGTGCAGGATGTGCCATTCCATTCTCCCTTAAAAATAATAAAAATCGTACCTTTGCTCCCAAATATGTAAATTCAATATATATATATATATATGAATTCATTAACAATACAAATGTATAAAAAGAATGAATTTCCTATTTCATTAGTGAATGAAATGTTAGGAAAAATGGATTTTGTCTTGTTATTAAATATATATATAAGGAAGCGTATTAGCGCCACTCGTTTTTTTTTTTATATTTCTTCCTTTGTTTGCGTTATAACGCAAACCTTTGCGTTATAACGCAAACATTTGCATTATAACGCAAACCTTATGCGTTATAACGCAAACCTTTGCGAAATTACGCAAACCTTTTGCGTTATAACGCAAACCTTTGCGGAATAACGCAAACATTTGTTTTATTTTATTTCTTATTTAAGTTTCAAAGGAAGCAGCTGTTATAAATGGAGGAGGCTGCATATATTAAAATTTATCACCCTTTGTACTCTTTGCAATGTAAAATGCTTGAGTGTTAAGCACACATCATGGGATAATTATGAGCAGGATAATGCATGTATATATATATATATATATTACACAGAAAATTGAGTAAATTGAAGTTATACCGAAAAAAATAAAAAATCAACCCCGCTAGTGTAGCCGAATTTAGATATACTTCCAAAGTAAGCGCTCGTTTGAGCATTGTGTAAGATTGGTTAGATTCAAACAAGCTACCCTTTTCCCATAAATGTATAAGATGAAGATGTTATTTTATTATAATTATGTTCTCTACATTCAAATTGCTACCCAAGCATCTTAAATAGCTACCTCACTAGATTGAAATTAAAATTCCATGACTTTTTTTAAAGAATCTTTATCATATTCTGAGATTTCAACAAACGATTTCTTACATCAAAATTAAAAAAAATGTTTTTTCTGAATAATAAATTTTAAAGCAGAAAGATCATTTTGTCTATTTGACTTATAGTTTCACAATTGTATGACATTATTTTTGCTCTTATCTAGTTTACCACTTTCCGTTAATCAAAATTTTCAAAATCTTGGCCTTTCAATTAAAATTTGCCTATACCATATCTATTTACTTGTTAAATTTATATAATTTTCTGATGCAAAAACCATTCTTAATTTGTGTATAATTGCACTTCAAGTATTCCTTTATTTCTATGCATATTTATTATAATGATTTGGCCTTGTGTTCATGGTTCTTCTCTTAACTAAATCACAACCGAAATTTGATGACAGACGGACATGCAAATGCCGACATTTAGGGAGCTACCATTTGATTTTTATTGGTGGGCTAGGATGAAATTTGAAAAAAAAGGCAGGACAGAAGTTTTGTGTAAAAAAAAAAAACAGGATGAGCAACTTGGCAAAAAAAAAAAAAAAGACAGGATGACAAATTATGATTAAAAAGTC